TGCTGTTGGGAAGCCTAGGTCAGAACAGGTTCTTCAGGCCTACACAAACCACAGCATGAATACGATTGCAGGGATCCCTTTTTTACATTGGACTTTTCTCTCCCAGGATTGCAAATATTTTGCACCAGTAACACAGATGCTGTGCCACTGGTAGTCCAACTGTCTTTATGCCTGGTTTCTATAAGTGGAAGGGAGAAGAACTCTACCGTGTCTCTATCAAAGCCTGCTTAGAAGAAGGCAAGTGTCTTGCATTTGTCTCTATAGCAAGGGCCTCCAAACTTGATGACTGTAAGACTTGTGGACTTCAACTCCAAGAATTTTGGGAGTTGAAGTTCACAAGTCTTAAAAGTGGCCAAGTTTGGAGAGCCCTGCTCCATAGGATGAACTACAAGGATCTGCCTCTTAGCCCAAATTTATCATGGAGAAAGAATTAACACCCCAAGGATGCAGAAGAAGCCGTTTCTGTAATTTTAGACTCTACTAATACCACATAGCAATATTTTTATTGCTCAGATTGTTGCAATAATAGTAGCAAATGGCTTGCATTGTTTTCCAGCAGGTGGGTGGATTTTTGAAAAAAAGCCACTGATTCCCAAGCCAAATTCCATTCGCAAGCCCTCCGTATTGGTTACTTTTCCAATTTTGTATCTAAAGGAAGCAAACTTTACGATGAAGAAAGCTAATGAAAAAAAAAACAGGCATTGCAAATTCTCTCTGCCTGCTCCATTAAAACCTCACAACCAAGTTGATGAGCCTTGCTCCTCAGCTCACAACAATACCTGGATCTATGCTCCATCTAATTCAGGTATTTACATCTGAACTCATCAATAAATTTTGCGATATTCTACTGGGAGAAATGCAACCATCAGTTTATAAAGGGAAACATTCTGTAAATAAGGTCTACCTTCCGGCATCAACAGAGTTAAGCAGGTATCCTGAGCAATAAAGAGAAAGATGCGTTGGACTCCTCGAGGCCCCTTGAGGCCCTCCGAACGAACTCAACATCAATAAAACTTGAGATTCTTGTTATAATGGATGGCAAACTACAAAAGCAACAAAAAAAGCCTCATGCCCAGGAGGTGCTTGGAAATGAGCAGCATGGCTGCAGACCAAAGGCATGGATTTAATTGGAGCAAGACAGGTGTTGAGGTTTTAAGCAAATAGGGAGATTAATTAAATTAGGGAAGAGAGCAACGGCAGCACCAGGCAAGAAACTAAGCCAAACTGTTAATACCCGGGTTGGGAAGAAGGACTCTGCGAGTTAACTTTTGCCCTCCCTTGCAAATCAGTGCTAGAATGCATTCTGGAGTAGAAGGGGGGGCGGGGGGTTAAGGATCTTTTAAAAGAAATTTAGCACAGATGTTGTTCTGCTTTGTCTTCCAGCCCTATATAATGCATGGTTGAGTGGGTTCTCCAGATGCTGTTCTCTCTCCCTTCATTTCTGACTGTAAACGACTGATGGGAGGTGCAGCTTAAGATCTTCTGGAAGTCTACTCTGTGGCATCCTCATTCTTACCATTCAGAAAGCCGTGGTCCTGTTCTATCCACCATGAATAGTAGCTTTCTCAGGAAACCACATTGGCCACGTGAGACTTGCTAAAATGTGAGATTCACCTGCAAGGCCCCTCCAGTTCTAAATTTACGAAAATGTAGTTTTCCCTGATGGACGTGCCATTCTGAAATCTGTTCCGTACATTATCGTGCTTCCTTGGCTTCCTCACACTCAAGATGTAGATTGGGAATGAAACACTGCCTAGCAATAGCACTTTGACTTATATACTGCCCCATCGTGCTTTACAGCACTCTTTGGGTGGTTTAAAACATCAGCATCTTGCCTCCAATAATCTGGGCCCTCATTTTATCAGCCTTGGAAGCATGAAAGGCTGAGTCAACCTTGAGTCCCGTCAGGGTCAAACTCCAGACTGTGGGCAGAGTTAGCCTGCAATGCTGCATTCTAATCACTGCACCCACTGGGGTCTAGAGAGCTATTTGCAAATAAAATAAGACCATGATGGGCTAGTTCTGGCACTAGATGAACTCACAGTGAAGCAACTTCCCATGCAACTTATCTGAGATGCACTTTCCTTCTTTCTCCAGGAGATACCAACTAAGGCAGGGCCCCCCAAAGTTGGCAGCTTTAAGACTTGTGGACTTCAACTCCCAGAATTCTTGGAGTTGAAGTCCACAAGTCTTACAGTTGTCAAGTTTGGAGACATCTGAACTAAGGATACTGATTACATGACGCATTCCTCCCTTAAAATTCTTCCCCCAACTCAAAGCTTATTTTTCTGTGTTGCAAATCTTGGGCTTCCTCCAAGCTTGCTGATCTCTCCCAGTATTTGAGTGATGCAGTTTTGGTTGAATGTCAAACAGATCCAACAGATAATCAGAGTCGGAAGGGACCCTGTAGGGACCTTCCTTGTATGTACAACACTGAGACCCTGAAATTGGAAATAGAAGAAAAAATAAGATCTTCCATTCTTACTTTTTTTTTTTTTTTGCTGGCTTGCTTTCTTCATGACCAACTATGTCAAGAGCAAAAGAGAGAAAGCAAATAACGACCGTGGATTTCAAACATTTCTAATGTTTGAAAAATGTTTTTTTTTTTTGTAAACTCCTAAGCAAAAAAGAAGATTGGTAGCATGGTGCACAAAGTGAAGTATATGAAGTGTTGGGCGCAGCCCGTGCAAGACAGAAGAAATGCAAAAATGCCTTTTAATAGAAATATAGATACACATTTAAACAGCAGATATGAATGGACTCAGGATTTCTCTCTAATCAGGATTTCTCTCTAATCCAACGAGGAGTGACAAGACATGGAAGTATCTTTGTAATAAACATGGGCCATGCTGGCAAGAAACCTTTTTATCTGCTTTTCCAACAAAGATTTTTTTTTGTCAACAAAACAGGTAAGACCACCCCATTTGACCCATATTTTCATATTGCCTTTTGTTGGTAAGGAAAGAGAGAATGCAGAATGCTCAGAATTAGGCTTGCAAACAGTAGCGATACAAATATTGCATGTACCCTCTCATTGGTAGCAAATGCTCAAAATTAGGCTTGCAAACAGTAGTGATACAAATATTGCATGCACCCTCTCATTGGTAGCAAGATCTATGGACAAGCTATGCGGTCATCAACCATACAAGTAAGACTCCCTACTAGCTGTGTCCAGTGCGGAAAGAGGTGGCCTGAAAAAAAAAAACTTTTTTTTAAAAAAATGCACAAATACACACACAGCACCGGATTCATTTTGCCTTCATGGTGGCCAAAAATGGGAGAACCCAACGGGAAACATAAAAGTACCAACTGAGTAGAAATAAAATAATTGCTTTCCACAAAAAGAAGAAGAAGAAACTACAGACGATGTCTTCTTGGATAGATGAACTGGGAAAGCTGTAAAATAAACAAGCCACCAAACAGATGTCAGCGCACACCTAATGACTAGCACACAGACCTAAGCTCATTGAAGACCACCACACCCCATCTCACCTGGCCCAGGTTGTCTCTCCTAATGAGATACTGCCGAGAACATGGGATACAAGGACTGTGGGACACCAGAACACATTTGAGCACCTTTGAGAAAAGTTCTCTGGTGTGGGTCTCTTGAGTAGGGTTATTGTTCAGTGAGTCAACACCTGCTTGGCATGGAGAATGTTCTGGAATTGATCCCTACTCTTTCTAAGGGAAACCTGGGGAAGCTTTGCCTTTCACCAATCCATATGGACCTGACAAACTGAGAGAGTCTCATAGTCAATAGGCAGTCCAGGATGAAGGAGAAGAGGGAAAGAAGCAGAGAAGATAGGAAAAAAACAGATAGAGACCTGGGAGAGGAATCTGCAGCTCCTGGTATGTGCCAGCTTCCATGTTTAATATGCGTAAGGAAAGAAGGTGCACTTTTAAGCATATTCAAAGGTTGTGCTTTATGTTGTCTAGGTTCCAGATCAGTATCTGGAGGCCGTGGGAGTTCTGGATAGGGAGGAACAGATTTAGGCTCAACCTTTCATGTGATGAAGGGACCATGGATTTTGAGACTTTCCCCGTTCCAGAGCTTTCCCATCTCTCTTTCTGTATGGGATGCATGACTTGAGGAACTTCTCAAACTCACAACTCCTGCTCAGGAAGCAGAAGGTAGCCATGGCTCGGGGCTCCTTTGCGCATACATTTGTGCCCCAATCCTGAACTGATGCTGAATTGGGAGCCCCTATTCATGGCCTTGGCTACCTCCTGCCTGGATTCCTGCAATGCAATCCACATGGTACTGCTCTTAGAAGCTGCAACTGGTCCAGAATGCAGCAGCGGCCACAGTTGTGAAAGTAACTTATATTCTCAACTAACACCCCTGCTTTTGTGAGCTGTATTGGTTGCCAGTGAACTTCTAGGTCCAATTGAAGGGGATGGTTATCGCTTTCAAGGCTCTTTATGATAGAGCCTGATTTTTGTGAGATCACCTGTCTCTGATTATTCTGGCATCTCCAGTAAGATTCAACCGCATGCTCAAATTCCCATCACTTATGCAATGACATCTTAGGGATGTTGTTGCTTCACTGTAATTGCACTTGCCCTATGGAATAGTATGTCCCGAAGATCTGGATGACCCTCCCTACCTTTGGTAAGGCTTTGAAGACTCCCTGCCCCCAAAACAATGGGTCAGGAGGTCTTCTGGACCTGTCCAGGTTGGTTGTGCTTAGTTATTACATTGCCTCTAGTGTAATTTGTTTTGCATTTGATTACATTTGTATAGTGTGCTGCCTTAAGTCATGGGTTGAGAGAATAAATGGACTAAATACATACACCTGACGTGATTTTACCTAGGCAGGTTCCAGGCAGGCCCCATAGCCTCCCGTTCTCCTACATAAGAGAACAGATGCCCTGCAATTGGGGCACACCAGGCATTGCCATTGACCCCTAAGCTTGACAATATTCCTTAGAAAGAAACAGAACAAGGTCCATACCATGGTGGACAATGGAGGAGAAAGGGCTTCTCCACTGCTCCAAGACTAAGCAAAGGGGACCAGAGCCACGAGAGCTACAAGAGTCAATCGACCCATGAGGCTGGGCCAGAGAAGGGGAGCTGCCCCCCTCAAGGTCTCTTGATTGGTCTCATCCACACGGAAAGCCTTCCCATCGCCAGCCAGCTGGGCCCGTGAGCTGCACAGGTCATGTAGGTTGCCTTGGAATTGGATTTTTCGGGACTCTTGCCGAAGGGATTCCCAGATGTTGGCTGCCTCTTCAGGGCAATTGGACAAAACCTTGGAGGCACAGGCGTGGAAGTCATCCCAGGATCTGTAGGGAGAGTGGACTCAGTGAGGATTAGGCTCAATTTATGCCGAAGCAACGGAGAACAAAGTGGGAGCGCGATTCTATTTGTACGGGTCAACGGTTACATGACATTCCCTTCTATCTTAGGGGTTTTTTTTTTTCTTCAAGAAGGGGCTTGGTGTTAGCCTTGGCTACATGCTTCAGAAGATAGCATTGACCAAGGTCACAAAGGGAACGTGAGTGCAACGAATCAATTGTATCAGTCTAACTGTGGTGCAAAGTGGCTGCAGAGCAGGACCAGCATTCTAAAATTCAATTCACAGGGCATTTCCTGTATTTCATTTTAGTGTTCTGATCTGATCTCCGTGGATATATTAAGACTGCACTGGGAGGACATGAAGTATTATACTTCCTCAGAACTTTCATCATCCTAATTAAAAGGGTAAAAGTTCCCTTTGCACATATGTGCTACTCATTTCCGGCTCTAGGGGACAGTGCTCATCTCCGTTACAAAGCCAAAGAGGCAACGCGGTCCGAAGACATCTCCACAGTCAGCATGACTGAACACTGAAGGCGCACAGAATGCTGTTACCTTCCCGCCAAAGGGGTGCCTATTTTTCTACTTGCATTTTTACATGCTTTCGAACTGCTCAGTTGGCAGAAGCTGGGACAAGTAACGGGAGCTCAGTCCATTATGGGGAGCTGGGATTCGAACCGCTGAACTGCTGACCTTTCTGATCGACAAGCTCAGCATCTTAGCCACCGAGCCACCTCGTCCCTTTTAATCCTCCTAATTACGAAGAAGTAATTTCTACAAATACACCTCCGCGCTTTAACCAACTATTTGAGGAGGGTTGTAGGATTTGTATTAATGTGTGTTAAACACAAGAGCAATTTGCAAACGCCCCACCTGGTCCCATCGTTAAAAACCCTCAAAAGGCCAAAAATGGGTCAAAGGTTACAATACCATCAAATGGCCTTTCCTGTTCACCTTTGAAATTCAGATGACGAGTTGTGGAGCTTAACCTTCAAATTAACCTAAGCAAGATTGACGTCAATGTTGTATTAGATGAAAATTATCAGTAGGACTGTTAATGGAAAACAAACTTCAGGTAAATCAATACAGGACCCAGGAGAGATCATACAGGGTTTAGTGCGGGGGTAGTCCATCTTTTTATACCTACTGCCCACTTTTGTATCTCTGTTAGTAGTGAAATTTTCTCTAACCGCCCATCGGCTCCACAGTATTGGTGATTTATAAAGTATGGGACAAAAAACCCCACCGCCCACCATGAAAGCTGGAACGACCCACTAGTAGGCGGTAGGGACCAGGTTGACTACCACTGGTTTAGTGTGTCCCATGAAAACTCAAAGAAAACATGTCTGCATTCAAGGAGCAAAATAATCCAACACTCCCTTGAAAGTGGCTGATCTGGTGCACATATTATACTAGCTCGATACCCGTGCTTCGCTACGAAACTATGTGGTCGGGCTTAGTTTTTGGGAAAGAAAATAAGGAGGGGAAAAATTCTGCCTCTGCCTACCAGCATACATCAGTATTCATCTGGCTAGGGTCCTGTCAGGGTGTAAGAGAGTTGAGGGATGTTTGGAAACTGAAACAGTATTTGCTATGTGAGCAAGGAGGAGACAGCAAGAAGCCTGGGCGTGGCTTAGCTCAATTGTTGTGTACTAAAGCTGCTTGGTACTGTGAAACTAAAAGTGAAACTGAAACTCCTCTCCTCTGCTTGTTTTTTTTGCCTTTGGAACAGATTTCTTTTCAGGTGGGGAGGGGGAATAGAACTTAGCATCAGGGCATGTTAATAATAATACATGAAATACTAATGCTCTGATGGTCATTTTGAAAAAAATCCTTTCTTAGTGAGCACCTAGAAGGCAAGAGGAACATAGGTGCCAAATATCAAGTTTGTAGGCTTTGCGGTTCTGGAGATTTTGTGATGATGCATGAGTGGTATTTCACTTTTATATACTGTATATAAGATTAGCTGTTGTTTCCTTAACTTTGCCTGGTTGACTAAGTATTATGCAAAGAGTTTTTGGCTAGGTTCTCAAATCATGTTTAGCCACAACATGATTTGTTTACCTTTGTAGTAACTCATCCTTTGCAGTTTGCAATCTATGGTTAATGGCTTTGCAACTTAGCTAGTCAAGGCTTATTCAGCAAATAACAAACCTTTACTTGGGCAATATTTTAACCCAATCTTATCACCAGGTGGGTGCAGCTAAATTGAACGTTGCAGTTCTGGACCCTCAATAGTACTGAAGTCCAACCTTTGGAAGGCAAGTGTTACCTTCCTTAGACTTATAGATGACCTTTGGGTTCATAGCTGGGAAGAACAAGCGGTTTGTTTGAGCTCTTCCTCAAAACTGGTGTTCCTATTTTTAAAACTCTGCACTGTAATATCAGACCTGGGAAAGCTGGAGTCAGCAATGCCAATTCAGATGGATGAATAGCTCAAGGAATCTTCTCGCAAGCTTTTGAGACAGCTCCATAATAGCCTTACTCTTGGTGGGCACCTGAAATGATGAACCTGCACTCACCTACAGATGGTGTTCAACTCATCTTGATCCTGGATGGTGTCATCCTCCATATCCTTCTGAACGTTTTGAGCCATGCTGTCTCCAAGGCTAACCAGGCACTCTGCAAACCCCTTATAGATGGTGTTGCACTTCCAGCCAGCCGCATTCACGGGCTGCCCCACTAGCACTGCAATGAAGTTGAAATTGAGATATTCAGACGGTGTTATTATTGAGGTTCGCCAGCAGTCGGTGCAGATGGCAAAGGGATTGGACAATGGAGAAGAAAGGGGACCAGTCTGGGCGTCTGGTGAGGACTCGGATGAGGGTCCTGCATCCGATGCAGGGATGGGGCCAGGACCATCTGCGAGTGGGGTGCTGCCTCCAGAACCTCCGGAGTCTGGCAGCAGCGAGGCAGAGGACCCAGGGGAGCCCGTTCCCAATGCGCGTGTGCACAGAGCTGCTAGAAGGCGAGAATAGCTGAAGCAGCAGGGGTGACTTGGGAGTAAGGCTGAGAGGTGATTGCCCCTCCCATAAGGGATAAAATCAGACCTCAGTGACGAAAAGCTTTGCAGGAAGCAAAGCAGTTCAGTAATTTCCGAGTCCTTCTTGAAGCTCTGTGTTCTGGTCAGTTTTTTTCTGGATTTTGGGGTTGGTTTATGTTAGCCTTAATTAGACTTCTATTTTTTAGCATCATTCTATAGCACTGAACAGCATGCTCTTAGCTGGAGGAACTGTTTACAATTAGTTATGGCTGGGAATTCAAGTAATTCCCAGTGTTGCATTAAAATAGGTTTTACGTTTAAAATCAGTTTGTGTTTTATTAAGTTTGAATGAAGCCTGGGTCAGAACAATTAACTTCAATAGCTTTTCCCAGCTCACACCTTGATAGATGCACAGGGCTATATTTCCCATAATTTCTGGGAAGCATGTAGGATGGGGTGATGGAATCGTAGTTAAACTTTCCTGGACTGTGTCTAAGTTTTAGAGGATAGCATTCATCCAATAGCCATCAGAGCAGTGCTTTCAGTATAGGCCAGAGTGGCAAGTTGAAAACTTAGAGACAAAAACATCTCATAAAATTAAAATACATATTTTTGGATAGCTTCGAAAGCTATCGCTATTCAAGAATTCTAAAGTATCCTGAAGACTTTCATTTTTCTCTGGAGATAAATTTAGGCTGATAGAAAGCTCTGTATTTTTAGCTAAGTTAATACAACATTGAGGGCTCATCACCTAGAGGTGAAGCATGTCCTTCATGTAGAAAGGGTACTCGTTTCACCCCTGGCATCTTCCTATTGAAATGTTTAGGCATTGGATAATGGACATGAGTATTCCAAAAATTATAAGGCAATTTTCCGTATTTCCTGAAAAGCATTTGTAAGGGGCAATCCAATTCTGAGGGAATAAGCTGTATTATGGTCAGAAAAGAAGCAGTTAACTGTATGTTCTGAGTTTCTTGAGTTTAAATATTTGCATATATAGCCAGGTTTCATTTCTGAACACCTAAGAATAGCACCCTGAGACCGTTTGATATGGCTGCTTATTTAATGGTGTGTAAAATTCAGGAAGCTGCTTTTGAAATCTGGCAAAACCAGTTTGGTGTAGGAGTTAAGAGTCTAGGTTAGAATCTTCTCTGCTCTTTTATTTACTTTTGTATTCTATGATACTTTATAACCTAATAAAAATGCTTGACTACAAAGATTCTAGGCTCGAAACCAGGAGACTGTGAGTTTTAGTCCTGCAAGAGGGAGAAAGCCAGCTAAGTTACTTTGGGCCAGTCGCTAACTCTCAGTCCCACAAAGCAGGCCACGGCAAGCCACTTCTGAAAAGTTTACAAGAAAACTGGCAAGGACTAGTTCAGTCAGTCATCAGAAGTCAAAATTAACTCAAAAGGCACCAACAAATGTTTGATCTATAAAACCCTTAGAGGCTCAGCTGGATGTAAGCTGGATAGAAGCAAGCATTCACCAGGATTTCTGTTATCCAAGGCACTAAAAGCTAGAATGCAAGGAGGTGATTTTAAAAGACAAAGAAAAGTAGGGCTTCAGAACTCTGGACAGCTCCTAGAAAGCTCTTTGAGCTTAAATGAAGAGCAAGGACAACTTTTCAACAATAAAGTTAAACTACCCAGGGGTAATCTGAATTCCCAAATCATGAACAAGATGCAGTGACTGAATTCACACATCAGACAAAGCCAGATATTCAAGCTATCAAAACTGGGTCTCCACAATGCTCTAATCACAATATGATTTAACCTTATGTGGAAATTTAACCAAAGTCAGATTGGAACTCAGCATTTTTAAGGTGAGTTCAATTGTTTTGCTGCTTTGAACCTGCCTCATCTCTGAAATGCACCTTCAACAAGCTCTCAGAGGGGACGAGGGGAAGCGCCTATTTTCAGACTAGAAAGACAAAGGATTTGCCTGTACATAAAGCAGCTGGCTAGCATTCCTCCCAACACACACACTTCTATTTAACCAACAAGACTGAATGTAATAAGGACTGAATTAGAATGCAAAATTAACACTGTCCTGAAGCAAACCTGAGTTAGTTGTCTTGGATGGCAAAATGAACATCTCTTAAGAAGAACTCAAAGATAAACAGCGTATTGTCTCTTCTACAGGTAGTCCATAACATACGACTGCAGTTGAGCCCCTAAGGTCTGTTGTTAAGTGAGACATTTGTTTAGTGAGTTCTGCCCCATTTTACTACCTCTCTTATCATAGTTGTTCAGCGAATCATCACTGCAGTGCTTAAATTAGTAATCTGGTTGTTAGGTGAATCATCACTGCAGTGCTTAAATTAGTAATCTGGCTGTTAAGTGAATCATCACTGCAGTGCTTAAAATAGTAATCTGGTTGTTAAGTGATTCTGGTTTTCCGCATTGACTTTGCTTGTCAGAAGGTCGCAAAAGTGGATCATGTAACTCTGGGACATTGAGACCGTCATAAGTATGAGCCCATTGCCAAGTGTCTCAATGTTGATCATATGCCCGTGGGGATGCTGAAATGGTCATAAGTGCGGAAAAAACGGTCATAAGTCACTTTTTTTAGTGCCATTGTAACTTTGAACAGTCACTAAATGAACTGTTGTAAGTCGAGGACTTACCTGTAAAAATCTAATAGCATGTCAATAAGTACCACCTCCAATGGCTATTGAAGATACATAGGCTGTGTTAGCTATATATTTAGAAGATAAAAGGCTTGGTGTCTCAGGGGCCCGGTGATTACAAAAAGACCAAACGAAAAGGACTTTGTCAATCAAATCAACTCTAATTCTGTCCTTGTTATCAATGGGTATACGGAATACAGAATAACAGATTTGGAAGGGACCTTAGAGATCATCTAGCCCAAGCCCCTGATGAAGCAGGAAACCCTCTACCATTTCAGATAAACATTGTCCGATCCTGTCTCAAAAGGGTGTATATACTGAAGTCACAATTTCTATTAATTAGCTCTGGAACCCTGTGCTAGTTCGTACCTAAAAGCGACAAGCGAACAACAAACCAAACAATCGAAATTGAACAAACATATGTATTAAAAAATAAATAAATATACATGTGCTAGAGGTGAACTTACAGTAGATTATTATGTTTGACTTTGCAAGCCTGGAGGTAGAGAGCACACCATTACAATCTTTTGTATGCAATTTGGAAATTCAGAAATCTATACAAATTGCCATTTGGACCCCATTTCTCACCAGGGAAAAGATTTTATCTGGACCGTATTATAGCCACCTTTCCCCAAGAAGGCCCGTTCCCACATGTTGTGTAACCAACTCACCCTCATCAAAGGCAATGCAAGAGTTTTCAAGATCATTTGGAAGACAGCAGATTGGAGAAAACTGGAGTGCAACACATGACATTTTGTATTCAGATCCCTAGATAATACCAATCGCCCAGCTCATGTCTTATTTAAATTGATAGAATTTAAATACACACAGAGAGAGAGAGAGGGAGAGAGAGAGAGCTCTGGGTCCACCAATAGCACCAGCTACGGAGCATTAGGATTAATTACGCTAATTCTATCATCAAATCATACGCAAGGCAACCTCAGGGTTGTTGTTTTTTTTTTACTCCAATGCAGGCTTTTTCAAACCATTAGGAATTTAGCATCTTGTCCGATATTAAACAAGCAAGGATGAGTTTCCCCAAAAACCCAAGGCAAGAAGGAAATTACAATTCCACAATGGGCTTCCAGAAAGACTGTTTGATCAGGATCCTAAAGAGCTCATTTGTTTTTCTTTTCTTAACAGATTTTTAATAAGAGACGGGGAAGAAAATAAGAGACGTTTCCCCACACGGGAAAACAAGATGGCTTGGGTGTTCCTTCCCACCTTTTGATTTAAAAAAAAAAAAAGAAATTGTGAATGGAACAGGAAATTAAACATTTTCAATCTAAAACCGATTGTTAATTTTACCTTAATATTGCCGGATCACATTCTGAGGATGCCGTACTACTTCTAATAATAATTGAAAGAGAAAAAGGAAACTCAGCTCCACAGATGCCAGAAAAACGTAAAACAGCAGAAGCAGCTTATTAAAAGAGCAGAAAATTAAAAGGGTTTCTTCTGGGTACCGCAGAAGATAATGACATCGTGTAGTGTGGGATACCCGCAGCCTCCTCACCGAAATGTACTCTTTTCAGATCTTCCCCTCCACCCGCTTTACAGCTTGTATATTTTGCTCTCCTCCATAACTAAAAGAGGAAAATGGAGGGCCTGGTGTATTTTATTCACACTCTGTTCTGATCCAAACCCTTTTCCAATGAGACACATAATAACCAAAGGGAACAGAAACCTTTTAATGAGTCTTACGAATCCCCAGTTAAAAGGCTGCTGCAAACTAATTAACTTTGATAAGCACAAACCTTGCCAAAACTGTACGAGACTGCCAAGAATCACAGATAAGAAATATTTCACAAAACAAGAGTCTCCAAATACCAACTTAAATACTGTAACGTCCATGAGGCTGAGTTTCAAAACGTCTTTGCTTCCTGCAAAGAACTTTCGCTTCACAGCTGGCTTTTATCTTCTTGAAGGAGGGGCCATTACTTTGCAGCCTTACTCCCAAGTTGCCCGTGCTGCTGCAGCTGCTTTTTCCTACAAGCAATCCTGCGTGCACGCACCCTTGGCACAGGCTCCTCAGGAATCTCCTCATCACTGCCACCAGCCCCCACAGTCTCTGAAGGCAGCAGTCTACTCCCTAATGGTCCTGGCCCCTCATCTGTGTTCTCGCTCTCCTCAGTTGTCTGGACCTGCTGCCAGCTAACCACAACACACACCAAGAAACACACACACACACACACATAACTTTGGGGAACTTGTGCCAATCACTCTTTTTCTAGACTGGGGGTCAGGATAGTTGCAAGGAGAGAGGTGGTTACAGGCATTGGAGGCAGGGCAATAGTTAAGGATAAATTGACAAGTACTAGCTGGAGTTGGGAACCCTGTGGCCCTCCAGCAACACCCAACACTGGCTGTACAGGGAGTCCTCAATTCACAACCACAATTTATGTCACTAAGCAAGACATTTGTTAAGAGACATTTGCTCCATTTCACCACCTTTCTACCCACGGTTGTTAATTGCGGTTAAGTTAGTAACACAGTTGTTACTGGCTTCCCCACTGACTTTGCTTCTTGGAGGGCTGCAAAAGCTGGTCACGTGACTCCCCCGGGACTCTGCAACCGTCAACAGTATGAATCTGTTGCCAAACAATCTAAATTTTGATCAGCTGACCATGGGGGTGCTGCAATGGTTGGGTGAAAAACGGGCTCGTAAGTCACTTTTTTTCGGTGCCGTCGTAACTTTGAGCGGTCACTAAACTAACTCTTGTAAGTCAAGGACGACCGGTATTAGCAGACAAGTAGTTCTGTTCTGTGCAATATAGATGATCTCTAATATATAATACAGACCCATTGCCAGTTGGACGTATTTCTCACCCTCAAGAGAAGAGAACCTAGAGTACTGCCTCCAGTTTTGGTCACCACATTATAAAAAAGATGTTGAGACTCTAGAAAAAGTAGAGAGAAGAGCAACATGGATGATGAGGGGACTGGAGAGTAAAACATCCAACAAATGGTTGCAGGAACTGGGCTTGGCTAGTCTGGTGAAGAGAAGGACCAGGGGAGACAGGAGAGCACCCTTCCAATATTTGAGGGGCTGCCACAGAGAGGAGGAAGGGGTCAAGCTATTTTCCAAAGCACTTGAAGGATAAGGAACAATGGATGGAAATTGAACAAGGAGAGATTCAACTTGGAAATAAGGAGAAACTTTCTGACAGTGAGAACAATCAACCCATGGAACAGAAGTTGCCCTCGGAAGTTGTGGGAGCACCGTCACTTGAGACTGTCAAGAAGAGATTGGACTGCCATCTGTCAGAAATGGTGTAGGGTCTCCTGCTCGGGCGGGGGGTTGGACTAGATGACCTACAAGGTCCCTTCCAACTGTCTGTTTAGAAAAAAAAGTTTTATCTGGAATGTACTAGAGCAATCGTTTTTCTCCCCACACAGAGGCAAGCCCAACTCAACCCAGGCCCTCACTTGAAGCCTTCTCCTACCTCGGCCTCCTTTCCTGCCACCTCCTCCTTCACTGAATGAAGGAACAGCCACCTCACATCCCATCCCCTGAACCTAAATCACCCGAGCTGGGTAAGAGTCATCCCCAACATCAGCCGGAGGAAAAATCAAACAAAACAAACATTTTTAGGAACCTGGGGAAGGTTGGACTCCCTCCTTCCAAATGACAAGGGAGATCTTTGTGAAGCCTGTTAGACGTTCTCCGACTACAGTAATGCGTTTTATTAAAAGGCACCAGCTTTTGTGAGCCGCAGCAAGCTTTTAGCACAAGACTAATTTGCTTTTAAATTGCACGTGGGGTGGAAAAACAATCTCCTTATCTGGACCATCCCGTCCCTCAGATATTGGGGGTGGAAGGGTGGGGTAGGGAAGGAGGCTGACTACAACCACGGGAGCATCCGTGGAAAGCATCAAGCCCAATTGTGCCTTCCTTGTTTTGCAAGAGGTAGGAGGAAGGGGGGCGGGGGGGGTAGGGAAGAAGGAAATTCAGGAGCAGGAGTTTATAAAGAGGACATGTTGAAGTTCCTTCCCCTGGCAATTCACATCCTGAGACAGGCAGGGGGGAGAGAGAGAGAGAGAGAAGAGGGGGGGAGTGGGAGAGAGAGGGGAGAGAGAGGGAGTGAAGGAGAGGGAGTGAAGGAGAGAGAGAGGGAGAGAAAGAGAGAAGGAGAGAGAGAAGAGAAAGAGAGAAGGAGAGAGAAGGAGTGAAGGAGAGAGAGAGAGAGAGAGAAGGAGAGGGAGAGAAGAAGAGACAGAGGGAGAGAAAGAGAGAAGGAGAGAGGGAGAGAGAGAGGAGAGGGAGTGAAGGAGAGAGAGAGAGGAGAGAGGGGGGGGAGGGAAATTAAGGGTCAAACCAAGCAACTTCTAATTTTCAGCAAGAAGGCAGCTGGTGCCACTGAGACTCAGTTAGGGAGGGTGCCTTGATCCAGCCCCCCCCCCCTTTGACTCCCGGATTCAGCTCGGGAAGGAGTTTCGAACAGTCAGCAGCAGCAGCCGGGTGTCTTGCCTCATCTTACAGGATCTTTGGAATAGTGAAAATGTTGACTTGCCAAAAAGTGGGGAAAGGTAATTGGAGAGGGAGGGGAACATTCTGCAGTGGCAGAGAAGGAAAGAAGAAGGGAGGGGGGAAGGAGGGAGGGAGCAAGAAAGGAAGAAGAGAGGAAGGAAGGAAAGAGGGAGGGAGGGAGGAAGGAAAGGAGAAGAGAAGCCAGGTTGCTCTACCCCGCGGCCTTGCCCTCAGTTGCCACTTCCAGCCAAGCGGGGCTGCGGCGCGACGGTTCCGACGGACGGAGTCAGAGGCGCTCCAAGCCGCGGCACGCAGAGTTCCAAGCCCCATCATCCCCTCCTCCGGATCTGCCACCCCGCGGGAGGCTGACTCCGACGGCCCCGGCAAAGCCCCCCCACCCCCACCCACCCCCGGCCCTGCCCGGCTGGAGGGGTGGCGGGGCGCCGCCCGCCCGTTTCCTCCCCGCCCGTCTGAGAGCCCCGGGCGCTTCGGCTGGGCAGCCCGGCGGCCTCGCTTGGCTCCCCCCGCCCCCTCCCGAGCGTCCCCGCGTGCGAGTCCCGGGCCGAGCAGGGGACGGGCGGCTGGCTGGGCGCCCGCGGGGCGGTCGGAAGCGGCCGCTGAGGACCTTGCTCGCTCGCAAGGCTGGAGCCGACGACGGGCACTTACTTACCTGGCTGGCCGGCGGCTACGCAACCCAACCCCAACCCGTTTTTCCTCCCTCCCTCCTCCCTCCCTTCCTCCCTTCCTCTTTCCTTTCTTCCTTCCTCTCTTCTTCCTTTCTTCCTCCCTCCCTCCCTCCCTTCCTCTTTCCTTTCTTTCTTCCTCCTTCCTTCCTCCTCCTTCCTTTCTTCCTTCCTCTCTTCTTCCTTCCTTTCTTCCTTCCTCCTTCCTTCCCCCCTCCCTCCTTCCTTCCTCTCTTCTTCCTTCCTTCCTTCCTCTTTCCCTTCTTCTCTTCTTCCTTTCTTCCTTCCTCCTTTCTTCCTCCCTCCCTCCTTCCCTTCTTCCTCTTCCTTCCAACCCAACCCCGCAGCCCTCCAAAGGGTCCCGGAGTCGGACCACCCCCACCACCCCCGCCTCTCCGGCCGCCCCCTCCGCCTGCAATGCCTTCTTTGCGCGGGGGCTGCCGTCGGGCTGAGCCGAGAGGTCCCGTCCCGGCTCCCCCTTCCCGCTCCCTGGCCCGGCTCCGCTCCCTCCCGCGGCCTTCAGACGCACCCAGATGCAGGGCGAGCAGCAGCGCCCAGGCTCCCAGCGACGCCCCGCAGCCCATGGTGCCTCCGCCGCCGCCGCCGCCGCCGCCGCTCTGGAGGGAATCCGGGCTGCAAGAAACGCCGAGCGGCGGCGCCGGCTCCGGCCGGCCGCCCCGTCCCGCCCCCGGCTCCGCCCCGCCCCGCAGCTGGGAGCCTCGGGCCGTCGGAATCCCGGGAGTGGCGGCCACGTGGGAAGTTGATCGCCCCGCCACGTGGGAACACGTGTTCGTGGGGAAGGGTGTCCCTGTGCGGGAGACGGGGCCGGTGGGCTTGAGTGGGTGGGTGGGTAGGTGGTATAAACTGCAGGAAGCCCATACAAGTACAGGCAGTCCTCGACTTACAACGCTTCGTTTAGGGACCGTTCAAAGTTCCAGCAGCACAGAAAAAGGGGACTTCACCTTTGCAGCCTCCCGATGGTCATTGGGTCAAAATCCAGAACCTTGTCAACTGCTTCACACTTTATTTAGTCCATTTATTTTATTTTATTTATTTGTCAA